GAGGGAGGCCTTGATCCCAGAGTCATTCTTGCTATTATTCCTGTTCTAAGAAACGAGATTATTGAAGGAAAGACTGGCATTTGGATTCATGGCGGTGTGAAGGAGGCTGCAGATAATTTTATAAGAATCACGAACGGAGTTTGGGAAAACCAAAACTCAGATAAAGATGCTATAATGTCTGAACAAATTCTTCGTTTCTTAAGGAGACTTCTGCTGTCATGGCGCCGAAGAAAGGGCTTTGGTAGCATTTCAAACGAGACTGAAGTCTTTAAAAGCGTTGATGCTGCACTTCTGATTGTGCTATTACAAATGGATACATCCTCTCCTCGCGGGCCAGCAAGAGCCAAGTCCATACGAGCAGAACTTAACAACCTGGTGGATCACGGTGTTGATTGCTTTGAACGAGCAATTTCTATACTCCAATCATACAACCGCTTATACGTTCTCAGCCGTTTATACCAAAGTAGAAAGATGACGGAAGAAGTCTTGAACACCTGGAAAAGAATCATAGAAGGCGAAGAAGACAAAGGCGGCGAGCTTCTCGATGGCGAAAACGAAGTACGAAGATATCTCCTCAATGTTCGAAATCCAGCTCTAGTCCGAGAATATGGAGTCTGGCTCGCATCCCGCAATCCCAAACTAGGAGTGCAAGTTTTCGCCGATGGACAAAGTCGAGTTAAGTTCGAACCAACGCAAGCTCTTGAAATCTTACGAGAAGGGGCACCTGGTGCTGTCAAAGAATTTCTAGAATATCTGGTCTTTTCAAAACATCACTCGGAATATATCAATGAACTTATCGCTTATTACCTGGACATCGTAACCGACAAGCTCGAGACATCTCCAGAAGCAAGAAACATATTAATACAAACCTACGAATCATACCGCGCCCTCAGACCCCCCAAACCCACATACCGACAATTCATTACCGAAAACGTCCTTGAGGAAGAGTGGTGGCATAGTCGTCTTCGTCTTCTCCAATTGTTAGGCGGAAGTCAAGGTTCCGCATCCCAATACGATGTCGCTGCTATCCTCGCCCGCATAGCTCCTTACACCCAAGAACTCGTTCCCGAAATAATCATCCTCGATGGGAGACAATCGCTCCACGAAGAAGCATTGCGGCTTTTAACTCACGGATTAGGTGACTACGACACAGCGATCAACTATTGTCTCCTCGGCGGCTCCAGCATCTACCATCCGACCTCAGGCACCTTATCCCCCGCAACACTCCCCACGCGTGCTGAACAATCGTCGCTCTTCCACACTCTCCTGCAGGAATTTCTCAAGATAGAAGATCTGAGCAATCGCGTCGAACAAACTTCTTCGCTCCTCGAACGATTCGGAAATTACTTTGATGTGCAGGATGTGTTGAATATCATACCCGATACGTGGAGTGTGGAATTGGTGTCGGGGTTTTTAGTCAGTGCACTGCGAAGGATTGTGAGAGAGAGGAGTGAAACGATGGTCGTGAGGGCGTTGAGCGCGACGGATAATTTGAAGGTTAGTGCGGGCTTGGTCGATAGGGTTAGGGAGTTGGGTCCGAAGATTGTGGTGGAGGCGGAGACGGAGGCGGGGGAGTAATACGGCAAGATGTATATGAAGTGTAGAGAGAGGAAGAGGGGGCAAGGTGGTTTTCTAATTAGAGACAGTGATAGAGAAGCTACTTATTGGTAGTTTCTAGTATAACATTTACTTATATGCTAGCGAGTTCATTTGACATTTAGCATCCTTCTCCGATCCTCGTAGTATTTACAAAAGAACAGAATCTTATATTGGTATAACGTATTTAGTCCAAAGTGACTAACGACCGCTACATCTCATCATTAAATTTTTAAAAGCTAAGCGGCCAATTCACACGCAACATGCCAAGGAAACAAAGAGACGCCCCAAAGAAATCTCGCTGACGCCATTAATCATGTTCACAGCCATTGTAATGCGCATCCTGCGGTTAATGACAATCAGACCACCAAAGGTTGAGCAGGGGGCGCCTCACGCTCGACCTCTGCATTTGGCCTTATATTTTCAATGCCCGCCTCTCTTTCCTCAACAGCTCTTTCTGTGTGTTCATCATCATTTGCTCGTCCAGTGGCACCTGCTTCTCCACTTTCAGCAGCACCATTTTCAGCAGTCTCCGCTTCGACTCGTCGTCTTTCTGCCTCAGCGGCTGCTGCCTCCGCTTCTCTAGCCGCATTATCCCTCGCAGCAATGTGTCTTTCTCCTACACCCGGAACCAGACTCGCCACAAAAAGGAGCGCAGCATGTTCTGCCCTTCGAATTTGAGTTATGAGCCAACCCGGCTGAGCTTGTCTTTGTCTTTGTTGCTCCAGTATTCTTGCTGCAACTTGAGACTCGTCAAGTTGACCATGGGGTAATCGAGCAGGTGTATTTTCTTCCGCTGCCCCATTCTGTGGTACTACTGCTGCATTTGCTGCAGGTACAAGTGCGGCATCTGGTCCAGCTAGCGGAATCAAGTTTTCTAGATGTCTTCTGATTGGGCCCCAAAATTGCTCTGCAACGCCATTGAAGACTCCCGTGAGAACACCTGTGTTTATGAGAAAGACAACTATTGCGAGTCCGCTCATCATCAAGAATCTTGACCAGCTGCTGTTTCCAGAAGTGAAAAACCATACGAATACAATCAACCGAATAACCAACCAAAGCACATTGACTAACTGGAGTGCGACCGGTACCCCTGCTCTTTGAGCACGATTATGAATAGGCGGGATATCTGCAGCAGGAACTTCTTCGTTTGCGCGCTGTCGGTTTCCACGTCCTATTCTAATTCTTTGAGCATTTCTGTTGCGATATTCAGGCAAGCCGATTACATTGCTCTGACGAGTTCTTGAAACACGTGGTGTATAGAAAGTCTCGGAATTGTTTATCAAAAGGGCACGAGGGCCAGAGGGAGACGTGAGTATGTATACCATTGGCTCTGTAGATTGAGATGACGTAATGCTTGTAGATGCTGCTGGAGTTGGGGTCAGATTTGGTAAAGATACACTCGCTACCGGGTTGGGAGACATGGCAGTCAAAGGTGTACTGGGTGCGGATGTGGTCGCAGGTGCGGGGGTAGAAGATGGAGTTTGAGTTCCGGGTTGCGCTGACGGGGGAGTTGACGAAGATCTCGGCGCCGCAGAAGGTGCTTGGGGAGCTCTTAACCTGTCTACGTTGCGCAAATAATTTTGTAGATCTAACGCGGGGTTTCCAGTGCTTGCCGCTGGAGATGCAGGATGTTGCGCATAGCTACGTCTCTCAGGTGATCGAAATGGGTTATGTCTCTCGGGCGATCGAAATGTCCCTGCAGGAACTGTGGTTGTAGTCTCATTTATCGTCACTTGCCACCTCTCCCCATTTGGGCCGACACCCTCCCGAGTATAAGTAGAGCTATGGTCAGGAGCCCTGAGTTGAGGTGTTGATCTACCGGAATTCATTTCGTCTAAAGCCGTAAACATATTTGGTTGTCCGCCAGTATCCGGTGCCCCAATTGGTCCTACGCGTCTTGTTCGCTGATGCTGCGCAATTAGTTGTTCAATCGAGGTATGATTCGCATTTGTAGATGCATACGGATTTCGAGTAACTGTGGGCGGTGTTGGCATATTATTTCCCAAATTGAGAAGACGACCAATCTGAGATTGATAAGCTCGAGTGCCTGCTTCTAGTTCTTGCTGTAGACGTTCCGCCTCCCTTTGTAATTGCTGCAGTCTTTGCGTGTGCGTGGCATGATGAAAGTCACGATGTTGTTGATGTAGATTTTGCGCAGCTGGCTGGCCACGAAACTGAGATGGAGGGGTCGATATTTGAGGAGGGGGTATGTTCGAGGGGTTATTTTGCGTCTGAGGTTCCACAGCTCTCGTTGGAGTTGCTTCTGGGGGAGCAGGTCGAAGAACAAGGTGAAGACTGTGAGTGTCCATAGATGATAGCTAAGGTATCGAGTCAGCGAAGGTATTAGTTGTGTGTATAAACATATTCTCACGCTCTCTTGACCAAACACTTCTAACATTGTTTGCGATTCCCTCTCAAGCATTCGACCACGGTGAATCAGTCGCTGAGCTGAGTCGGACGGCTGTGATTGCACGACTTCTCTGATCTTTGCTTTCAATTCTTGTACTGTGGTGGTCACCAACAGTTGGGGGAAAGTCAATGGACTTGCGACCTCTACTGAAGGAGAGACGATAGAAAGAGTGAAAGTTGGTAGCTTTGGTTGTTCGTCGTCCTTGGTGGGCGTTTCACTACCAGATTCATTCTTTTCTGGTGACTGAGACATAATGGATATTTGATTATTGTTGTAGTTTCGATATATGTATGACCTTGCCTTCTGCGATTGGGTTGGCCAATATCTAACACGATAGTCGGGTAAAGTGAGATGCTGAGTAGCTGTTTAAGATGTGGTTTCTTTCATAGTAATCGTAAGGGTTATGATCAAACACATAGAAAGGAGGGGTATATGACTGAATGTTGGCTTTGGAAAAAACTACTGTCCTGCTGAAATAAGTTGGACGATGTAAACATTTAATGTGTCAACTACAGTATGAGCAAGTAAACGGTTATTATTATATCTGGTCGCAAGCTTCGGGATCATCTTGCTTATCTCATCTTATCCAAACGCTACTACCGGGGAGTGGTCCCGCTAGTCCCGCTAATGAACGAAACTAGGGATTTTTGAGGCCATTCTCAACAGCGGGAAACATGGCCAATAAATACCAGGCATATGTAGCGTTTCTTCTGATTCGCTTTAAAGATCATTGTTTCTCGTTGAGACTCTTATATTCGCAAGAAGCAAACATTGAAGTGCTGACTGCAGTCTACATCTTCGCTACTCCTTAAAAGGTAACTCATTAATAAAGGCTCGAGAATGTCTTGTTTCCACCATACACTCCTACTATTCATGATATCCAGGGCGGATGCTCAGAATGCCAGCTTCCATTGCATGATCTAGCTTTTTCGAATTCATTTATGGATATTAAGTATTATGGACTTAAAAGCATGTTCCGTTTCTCCTTCTTTCAATCGTCACTATCAGAAGTACTTCCTCCCAGATCTAGAACATCAAATTGGTTTTCGATACCCAAGCCCAATCTTCTAAAATCGACGCCTTCGGTTCTACCATCAATGCTACTATATCCACTGTCACGTCTTTCGCCCTTGGTGTCCGGTTCTCCACGTCCTAGGAGCTCTCCTACTTTCCACTGTGTATGGTTAGCGAATGTACCATATTCAAATACCCGAAAGGATGTCAGCTGGATAGGAAGAGAAAGTCGAGACTTACAGCAATTCTCTCGGCGCCCATTCTTGCTCCTTCAAGATTTGGTGAAGCTGGACCCATTCTCAAGCTTGCCAATCTTCCGGTTACAAAGAATGGTACCTCGTCGCTCCAACTAAGATCATGTGTCAAACGTGGGAATCCTCCAACGGTTTCAATGCCATATTTCTTAATCAGCGGTTGGACTGCTTCAATTTTCTCAAAGTTGATATCAAACCCGGTTGCATATATAACATGATCAAATGCGGGTAGATTCAACAACTCAGGAGAAGTCTCTACTTCCCACGATTGTGAACCCGTATTCCATGAGGCGGAAGTAATGTTTATATACTCATGAAGTGACACTCCACCTTTTGAGATATGCGTCTTTAGAATATGATGATATTCCGAGTTGACACTTCCACCATTTCTCGCTTCTTTATACATTTCCAATCTCTCCTCGTCCGAGTCTGCACTCCAGTAACGAGCAAGAAAGTGATTCTTGAATTTGGCGACCCATCCAAGTTCCATGTCAAAATCCTTTACTTTGAGAGGTCCACGCATTATCTGGTATACTTTTGTGACACCGCGTTTGAGAGCTGCATCTGCAATTTGGGCACTAGTAAGACCACCACCTACAACGAGAAGGTTCGTTCGTTGCTTGCGCGAGATCTTTTGCACCATATGTGGGGGAAGAAGTTTATCGTTCGAGCTGAGATAAGAGGGAATGAGGGCGTGTGTTATGCTTCCTTCATCTGAAAATGGACAATCGGATGGCAAAGCTGGGTTTAGAGCAGCACCTGCTGCAAAGACAACAATGCGTGCTCGTTTGATACCGGTGGATGTTTGCAGTGTGAATTCACCTGGACAATCTGGACATTCGTTGGGTTTATAATCGATCGAATTAACTTCGGACTTTTCCACAATATCGGCCAGATCATAACGAGTGGCAATATCTTCACAGAAGCTCTTAAAGAGTGCGGTGCTTGGTCTGAAATAATCTGGTCGATCTCGCTCATCCAGAAATGTGGTTTCCTGCTTGCTTTTACCACTGTTTCAATTAGTGACATTCTTCACATATTCTCGTAACCCGAGGACATCAAAACAACGTGCCTTTTCTTCATCTTCTGTTTTCTCTGATGTTTACTCAGCTCCTTGCCAATAACCCCATGAATCTCCTTTAGTTCATGATCCCTCCCCTCCTTCCACGCATAGCCCCTCAACCCATCTCTATCTCTGGGATCCGGATGAAAGAACATCGGACTTCTCAAGTATTTAATCTCTAACTTCTTGAATCGCTCATTCCAAGCACTCATCCACTCGCCGCCGTGTGCATCTAGCACAGCGATATCGAGACCACTGCAACAAGATGCACCTTGTACTAATCGATCGCTGGCTGTGAGGGAACGTCGACTTGTTTTGAAAGATTTGGAGGTTTGACGCGCTGAAGATGCTTTCATCCAGTGATAGCGTTGGTGTTCGGAGTCTGTGAAGAGTGATGAAGGGGTGCTTTCACAAAGACGTGCAGCGACAGCGAGACCGCAAGGACCTCCACCCACAATGAGAACATCGTGGATATGGATATCTTCAACTGCTAACATATTTGAGGATTTGTATTCGAAATTGTTCTGTTACTCTTCTTGTTGCTGATACAAAATCTGAAGGATTCTAAATAGTAATATGTATATACAAGATACCTATTTTGGGTGGGTACCTTGATGGCCAACCTTGATGGGTTGAGGACCCCTATGATTCTTAGCCACCTGAAACAATAACTCATGAAACAAATTGTTTGAATGGAAATGATCCACATGCATATGCACTCAAAGTACTTATTAGTCTGTTTTAGATGCTCGTTTTCCTTTTCCCTGTCCAAATTTAAGCATCATCGACCCATCCTAATTGTTCACCCATTTTGACCTTTTGGCCCTTCTCAATGGCCCAATTCCAACCTCCCTTTCTCTTCTGTCCCATCCAGCCTTCATCAAGACTTGGTCTTGTTCCTTTGGGTGCCTCGAACACAAGCACAACTGTACTCCCTAATTGAAATCCTCCCATTTCTTCACCCCTTCTCAGGGCATGGCCGTGAAGGATAGGACTCGCAGCCTCATACGTAGCTTCAGCAAATCCGCTATATGATTCCCCGCGCTCTGCAGCTTCGGCGGCAGCTCTGTCGGCAGCAGTATCTGTTGTTAAAGAATTGGTTCGTAGTTCTCGATCGAAATTGATCTTGATAGAACCAACGTTCGTAGCACCGACAGGGATGAAGGAGAAGAAACCCCACCTCCATCTGCCAAGAAGTACAACTCGCTCATTCAGTGTGAACAAGCCAGGTAATGTCCGTTGAAGATAGGGCGATACAGAGTATAATTCTCCAGCGAAATGGCGGCGCTTCTCAGCGACCCAAGCTGTTGGAGAATGGAAACGATGGTAGTCGCCAGGTGCCAGATATACAACTACATAATACAAAGCGGTCTTGTTCTCTGTAGTAACTCGAGAATACCACGGCTTTTCACCAAGAGCAAGGTCGGCTCGAACTTCGGCTTCAGAAGCTGGCTTTGGTGTGGTAGAGGCATCACTTGACTTCTTCCCGGGTTGCTTTTGAGGTGGCCCGGAGAGTAAGTTTGGAAGAGTGTATGAGATACCATTTACAGTTGCAAACTTTTCGTCTTGCTTGATAATCTCTTCATCTCCGTCCTTGTACCTCGCCTTACTTTGTTTAGGTGTGGTATCTTGAGGCGGGGTGAATATATTGGAGGGATCTGCAGGATTAGGAGTGGTAGCTGGTTTGCTGGTACCGAGAAGAGCATCCAGACTATAAGTCATTCCCTTAACTTGTTCTACTTCGCCACTTTCGATTGCACCGAACTGAAGAACTCGACCATCAGCAGGAGAAAGCAATGCATTAGGGTTTGGATGAAGTGGGCGAGCTCCTGGTTTCAGAGTTCGATAAAAGAATGAAGCTAAATTAGGGTATACGTGAAGATCGGGTTCTGATACTTCAGAAAGGCTAGCAGAAATACAATTAGAGAGTGCATATTTTCAAGATTGAGAAGTCCACCTACTTGACACCAAAAACAAAAGAATACAGTTTAAATCCTGGTACACGTAGATAGTACGGTATCTCCAATTCGTTGAATCTGCCCCATATTCTTGACATGGCTTTCAATGGGAGAGTTGACATTACTTGGACCTGCCTGCAGACTTATTAGCTGAAAGCTCAAATATGGAGCAAATTACGTACCATGGTCCCGAGGGCCTTACTCTTTCTCTCTTCTTTGGTCGTCCTTGATATCCTTCATCATTTCCATCATCTCCAGATCCTACACTCCTAACAATCCCATCTTCGTCTTCCTCTCGCCTCCTTGCCTTTTCTCGCTCATTCACTCGATAGAACTGACCAAGACCTAAAAAGCCTATACCCAAGCCCACAGGTATATGATACCATGTTACTTTTGTATCATTCAAAGCCCTACGCAGTCTCGTTCCGAAAGATTCCTTGTATTCGTTGTTCTGACGATAAAATCTCGCAGATGATGAAAAATTCCGAGGCCTATGACACCGGCATATGCATTGCGATTGCCCTAAAATTGTCGAAGTTCGCAGACTATGAAGACCTCGCTGTGATGATTGAGGTGGAGTCGCATGCGCCGCGACGAGTCTGTATGCCATCGAGGTAGTCAGATTGAACAATCTCGTCCTTGTGATCAAGAATGGGTAGTTTTCAAATATTCAAGTGTTTAGAATCAGCAATGACGAAACTCATTTATTTTGCCGCTTCATTGTTCACCGCTTTTCAACACTGCGGTTTGAAACTATTTTTCGAGTGAGATAACAAAAGGGTTGTAAAAGAAAATTGAAGTATCTGAGTAAGTAATTTGATCTACTCGTGCTAGATTGAGTACAAGTCTGTATATTGCATAAGTGTAAGTGCAGACGTTATGTTATAGTCGTAAATCATAATTCTTCACGAACAGTTTTGTCTGTCCCCTCCCCCATGCAAACATACTGGGTACCCCGCGAGCCCGCCAAATCTAAGCAAGAGAACATAACATCTATTACTCTTTTCCACCAGAAACATCTCCCAATAGCACCATCAGCAAAACATGGCGAACTCGAGTCCAGAAGTCATGGGCGCGTCACAGCCATCCATTCAAATCTCATTCCCTCTTCCAAAAGCTCCAGAGACCAATATCCATCTTCACCTGACAATCAATACAGTTTCAATACTATTGTTCCTCACAACGGCATTAAATGGCGATACTTCCACTGCACCACCTCTAGGTTCATTCGTCTATGCGCTCCCCAATGTAAGTCATTCTTTGATTCCTACTTCGTCTCAATGTTCTAACATATGTCTAGAGAACGAATGCTAGTCAGCCACTTTCTACACCCTTGTGTGTCTACGAATCCTCAGTCGAGTTCACGACCCGTCTTGCAAAATTGTTAGCGCGAAAGACAGGAAAGCCCGTCTACGTTGGCAATTCTATCAGCTTCGCAAGTGCAGGAATGGGCGGGACTGTGGAGGAGGAGATGGAAGGTTTCAAGAAGGTGGTGGAAATTGTCATGGAACAAGTGCGAAAGGCCGAAGGTGAAGTGATTGCGAATGGTACCAATGGCACTTAAATCGAAGCCGTCAACACCTTCAATACTCCTCAAACGGAGATAAAGCTCCAGCTACTACACACATTATTCTAGTTCGTACGAGGAAGAGCGAACGATACCGAGAATCGGGTTCTTGCAAAGCAAGCTACAACTTGATAGTTGTGCACCCTACTGTTGTACACATGCCCGGTATAGAAATGACTACTGAACTATTCAAGCGATTTCAAGAATGGTATTACCCAGAATCAAAGGTTTATAGGCTAAGGTCTTCATCGAAGTTTGTATCATGATCAATTTGGTGGGACAGCAATAATCGTCAGATGTACGACCTGACAAAGAACAGGACCAAATCCTTGGGATCTTACTTGCACATCATTATCACTTCGTCATGCAACAATAACAGCACTAGGAACTCATCAAAGTCCAATTCCAATATGTTCTTGTATTGTTCTGAAGACTTACAATGGCTCACGACTCACTCCGCCAATATTTCAATGTCTATCAAATATTTCATTGTGTACAACCGTCAATCTTGTCTAGAATTCGCCGAAGTCTCAATAATGTCATGCGCACTTTCTGCATGCAAGAATTTCCAGGCCACTTTCAATTCAGAATCTATTTTAGATCTCCTGAAGAAGATAAGGCTATCCTCTTTCATTTCTATCTTTGACACAAAAGTAGTATCACTTTCCGCCACACTAAGACCCGAACTTCGGAGGGGATTGGGAATGAGTTGGCTTCATGACATAGGGCTGGAGCTACAATGATCAATCATCGGATAAGTATGTATATGTATGAACTGTCCCGGCTGCAGGTCTACAGATGTGGCTTGTTGTTGGCTCCTCACAATAAGTCTATCTGAATATGAAGCATTGTGCGGTACGCCAACCCATTGAACGCAAATCCTTTACTGAATGAATAGTACTAGATATTTGCAATTTAAATTTATTCGTGAATATGATATTCTTTAGGCTGGGGCCTTGAGTTCTGTAGTTACACGGTGTCTTGGAAAGAATCTTTCTTCGTTTTAGTGATAAATTGCATGAACAAATAGTGTATCTTCAAATATCAGTCATGAGGTGGCAAGTAGCAAGATATTGATCGGTCTTGAGATATGAAAATGATTTGATGGTACATTCATTATATTGATCTTGATATTATTGTTAAATTTAATATCCTGGTCTACCTATCTATGAATATCGTTTATATTTACAGTATTGATATTGAAGATCCAATTCGGCGTTACTTCTCCCTTCAATTATTCCATTCCATTCTACTCTATCCCATCCCATCATCCTGCAATTTCGCCCACTCTTCTTACTTAAGCAACACCCATATCAACACCGACAACAAGCTCTCCAGTCAAATGCCCCTCGAAAGTTATTTTCCCAAGCGAGAAAGTTCGTTCTTCACAACCATTCAATGTTGGCCTATGGTTCTTCAACAAGCACGAGTAGCTACGCGTACCTAGTTGGTGGTAGGTACAAGCGAGTAAAGGAGTGAAAGAACAGAGTCAAAGAGGATACAGTACTAGGAAGAGTAGATTGTCAAGTACACTCGAGTAGCATACGCAAGTGACCCTTACGAACCTACCTATCAAAGGTTGGTAGCCGTCAAAACTCCCCATATAATTTTCAGTCGGTATTCACTTACCCTCCAGTAATAACTTTTCCGTATTGGTACCTACCTATTGAATGATACGTTTCCATCATCCACCAAGGTATCTACATAGTACCTAGTGCTACCTCCCTACCTACAAATATAAACCCTTTGTCATTTGTTATCATTTCATCACCCTTCGACGAAAAAGCTCTACGAAAAGGTCGGGCGAAAAAAGCTTCAATCACAATTTTATACAAATCATTCTCCTACGTACGTACATTTATTTACATTATCCTCCGTACAAACCAATAACCCCCCTGCAAGCGTTATTATATGGGTATCGTTGTACTAGTACCATATCGACCCCCAAATTTCAACACAGCTTTTCTCTGCCGACCTTGGATCAAGCAAACAAATTGACACCCCACCAAAACTCCTACTTCATTGAATCGTAACACAATTCACATTCTACCTTTTTTCTTCCCTTTTTCCCCTTCAGAATTGCGATTCGTAAGTTATGCTCCTTCTTTATTCACGCCTCATCCAATGACCTGTCATCTCCATCAATCCTTTTATAAACCATTATCACAAACTAACTCTTCAACCTTTGCGACAGATGTCGAACTACCTCCTCTAACGTCCCACAAGTAAATTCTTGTGTTACCCCTAGAGCTTCTATTCCCTACCTTGAAGTGCGTACCTGCATATCGGAATCTTTAGAATACTCCAAGTCGAAGGTGCGACAGGCTCCTAGTGAGAGGGTAATAGATATGGCGTGGCAGCCAGAACAGGAGGCTTTGAGGCAATTATCAGGATGCTTGAAAGACTCGTTAAGTGGGCAGGACAAGACTGCTCAGAAGCAAGCAGAGATTGTAAGTTTTTCCCTTGAAAATGCATAATCTAAGATAGAAATGTTTTGCAGAGCCCGATCTAATTATCATACCAAACACAGATGCTATCTCAAGCAAAGTCTTCGCCAGATATCAATAATTACCTGACCTACCTATTTTCGCATTCGGAGGTTCCTTCGGGCCTAAATTATACTTCACATGATTACTTTGCGATTCGATCGGCGGCAGCTGTTATGCTGAAGAATAATATTAGATCTGGATACAAATCGATATCTCCTGAGAGTCTATCTCTTATACAATCTTCGGTTCCATTAGCTCTCCAAGACAAAATCCCAACCATACGAAACTACGCAGGGAATGTTATTACAGAAATCGTTAGTAAGGGAGGTATTTTGGGATGGCCACAGATTTTGCCAGATTTACTGGCTTTGATTGGGAATACCAATGGAACAATTTCACCCGAAGCACAGGAGGGAGCCATGGCAGCTTTGTCGAAGATCTGTGAAGATAATCGAAAAATGCTAGACAAGGAATATCAAGGACAGCGACCGCTTGCCTTCATCATTCCAAAACTCATTGTGTTTGCTGCGAATGAGAGGCCACGAATTCGAACTTTGGCTTTGACCGCTTTGAATATCTTCATTCCACACAAACCCCAAGCCTTGCTTATATCTTTGGATGATCTTCTTAACCGCCTATTTCAACTCGCCAGTGATCCTTCAAATGAAGTTAGGCGACAGGTCTGCAGAGCCTTTGTTCAGATTGTGGAGATTCGACCTGATAAGATTCTTCCTCATATCGGCGGATTGGTTGATTATATGATAGCACAGCAACGAAAAGTTGATGACGAGGATTTGGCATGCGACGCTGCCGAATTTTGGCTTAGTGTTGGGGAGCACAATGAGTTATACACTGCATTGGGTCCATACCTTGACAAAATTATACCTGTGCTACTTGAGAGTATGATATATAGTGAGGAAGATATTGCCATGCTTGAAGGAGGAGGCGATGACGCCGATGTCGAGGATCGCGCCGAGGATATCAAACCTAAGTTCGCCAAAACTAAAGCTGCTAGAATGCAAGCGGCAAATGGGGACAACAACGGAGCGGCGAATGGTATCGATTACGCTAAACTCGCAGGCATGGAAGATGATGATGACCTTGATGAAGGGGAAATCGAGGACGATGACGATGATGAGGCTCCCGAAGACAGGTGGAATTTGAGAAAGTGTTCAGCTGCGGCACTTGACGTTTTTGCAAACGATTTTCGCGGGCCAGTTTTTAACACAATTCTTCCATATTTGATGACCAACCTACGACATCAGGAGTGGCCACACCGAGAAGCAGCGGTTCTCGCTCTCGGTGCCGTTGCTGAAGGCTGTATGGACGTTGTTAGGCCACATCTTCCCGAACTGGTACCCTATCTGATCTCACTCTTGAATGATGCCGAACCCTTGGTAAGGCAAATCACCTGCTGGACCCTCGGTAGATACTCGGCTTGGGGGGCTGGGCTTGAAGACCCGAACCAACGAGCACAGTATTTTGAGCCTATGATGGAAGGCATTCTGACAAAGATGTTGGACCGCAACAAGAGGGTTCAAGAAGCTGGTGCTTCAGCATTTGCACATCTCGAAGAGAAAGCAGGTACCAACCTCACGCCTTATTGCAAGCCAATCATCCAGCAATTTGTCACGTGTTTTGAGAAATACAAGGATCGTAACATGTTCATTCTGTACGACTGTGTTCAAACACTAGCCGAGCACGTAGGTCAAGGTTTGGCGCAACCAGAACTCATTGATTTATTGATGCCAGCACTGATAAACAGATGGCACAAAGTTTCTGATCAATCACGAGAATTGTTCCCACTCTTAGAATGCTTGTCGTATGTTGCTACTGCTTTGGAAGATAGCTTCGCCCCATTTGCCGCCCCCGTTTTCACGAGATGTGTGACAATCATTCATCAAAACCTGGAAGAATTCATGGCGGCGGCCAATAATCCAGGGTTAGATACTCCGGACAAGGATTTTATGGTGACTAGTTTGGATTTATTGAGCGCGATTATCCAAGCAGTTGACGATAAGCAATCTGCAGCGCTCGTATCCGGTTCGCAGCCCCAACTTTTTCAACTTCTCGTATATTGCATGGAGGATCCAGAGAACGATGTCCGCCAATCATCCTACGCATTATTAGGAGATTGTGCAAAATACGTGTTTCCACAACTACGAGAATTCCTCCCCACGCTACTTCCTGTGCTCATTAGTCAACTCGACCTTGATTCAATTGTTGATGAGCAGATTGAATCGACCTTTAGCGTACTCAACAATGCATGCTGGTCGGCAGGTGAGGTGGCAATTCAATACCAAAAAGACATGGCCCCATACGTGCCCAAACTGTCCGAAAAATTCCTCGAAATACTGTCCAATCCAATGGTACCAAAGTCGATGAACGAGAATGCAGCTATTGCTCTAGGACGAATGGGCTTGTTCAACGCTGAGATCCTTTCACCCCACTTAGCCACCTTTTCTCAACCATTTCTTAAGGCTCTCGAAGATGTTGATCACACCCTGGAAAAGGCTACTGCTTTCAAGGGCTTCTTGTCGATTGTCATGTTAAATCCACAAGCCATGGAGAAAACTCTAGCGCAATTTGTCACTGCAATTGCAAAATACGGAAAGGACGTTGAACCTGGCAGTACTTGGAACGTCGAACTACAACAAGCATTCCAACAAGTGAGTTATCGATTTCCTCCTGTCATAATGTTTGGACATGACTAACAGTTGTTTCTTTAATCACAGGTCCTCGATGTTTATAAGGGTCTAATTCCGGATTTCAATGCCTTCCTCAACAGCAATGTTGCTCCAGCAAATATCGCAGCTTTAAGATCAACATACAACCTGTAAATATCTATATGGATAGGATGTCCTTCGGGCCAGTTCGAAAATTCAAAGTATATTGCAATCTGAGAATTGAAATGTTTCACAATTTAGGCAGATGGGCGTACATGGGATAGGGAATGATTAAAGATAAATGCAAGCTGATAGGTTTGCAACTTGATGAGGAAAAGAAAAGGTCAAACAACAAGCATGCAGGAGCTCGAGGGCAAAATATGCATGGAATATTTGTATTTACAAAAGAGATTCAACGTGAAAAAGGTTACGTTACATGGGACGATGGATGGATACTGATGATTAAAGCGAATGGGATGATTAGTGATTTGGAAGAACGATGATTGGCGGATGGGAATTCATAGGGGATGAAAGAGGAAAATAGCATACTACATTCTGGCAAAAGGGATGGCATGGCGATCGATTTTCTTCCTTCTTAATTTCTTTCCACTTTGTGCTTGAGAAGGTGTGGAACGCTGGTAGGGTGTTGTGGGTTGGGCTGATAATAGCCCTAAGGACATGTCATGCATAGCCATGGGTGGATGAATGGAAGTGGGATGGATGGATGAAAATGCAAGTAAGCAAAAACGATTAGATAGATATACTTGATCTTGATACCTCTTTTCGGGCTCTACATTCTGGGGAGAGAAGTGAAAGAAAACATGGTCGGCGAGAAAGTGAAGAGGTACGGGTGGGCATAATATGCTTTGAATGGG